GGGGGGGGGGAGTACTTTTGCCTGTTTAGTGTAGGGATGTGCCTCTGAACCCTGACCCTGTTCCAGAGTAAAATCGCTGAAAACCATACCCTGTTCCAGAGTAAGGTCACTGAAAACCATACCCTTTACAAAAATGGATACCCTGTTCCAGAGAGGAGAGAGCGTGATTTCATATACCCTGTCCCAGAGGGAGTGTGATTTTATGTACCCTGTTGCAGAGTAGAATCGCTGAAAACCAAACCCTGTTTGGCGGCACGTACCTGTATAGCGAATATAGGGGAGTACCCCCCCTCCCCCCATGAATTTGGAATTTATAGATACTTATGATGTTTTGAAAGTTCTCAAATTGGACCCGCCTAGAGTCTCGTCCAATTTTGAAAACATCACTTGTAGCTATAAATTCTGAATTGTACTCGAGATCTTGCGATTTTCTATGCAAACCATGATTCAAATATTCTATATTAATATACACATACGACCTTCAGGATTCTCAAAGCTTCCAAATGCTAATTGCCTCGCAGTCAAAACACATATATTACCTGAAGCGACGTCTATTGATAGTGGCCAATTCATCCCATTTATTTTTAAATTCAATCATCTCATTCAATACTCAACTGTTTTCCATTCAGCTGGTTAATGAGACATCTTGGTGGATTTTTTATCAAGAGAAAACTAGACCACACGAGTGGTAAAGATGATCTGTACAAGTGTACTTTACAAGAGGTTAGCGTCAACTTACGATATTATAAAGAGAATTCATGTTTTTTAAAATATGTTGGTAAAGTTTACAAACCTTTCAAGTTTTATCAATAGAAACAACCTCTGGGCTGATCTAAGTCAGGGCATGGCTAACTCACAGATTAAACCCTGAAACAACCCCTGGGCTGATCTAAGTCAGGGCATGGCTAACTCACAGATAAAATTGGAATTTAGCTTGTTAGGTTTTGCAGAGGGAGAACCCAGAGAAAAATCTGTGATTCAAGGGAGAGACCTAACAAACTCTCCTCAAAAGTGATGCAGAGTTTGGGAATCAAATCTGTGACACCAGAGACGAGAGACGAGTGCACCTCGGCTATGTCAACTAGATTAATTGTTTTTAATGAACAATTTGTTTGTACTGGGATACTAATATTATTACGTAACTTAGAAAAGACTATGCTTTAAGGTGCAATGCTTTTAGCTGTAATTAATTATGTTTTTTCCCCTCTGTCAATAGTATATTCAGCAGCTACTTATCAAAGAACAGTACCTTGAAATGTTTATAGGTGAGCCGTTTTGTTAGAATTTCAGTTTATACCACATGGGGAAAAAGGAATAAAGTAGTTCTCATACTGTTCACCAAATCGAAATATGGTGACCAATTTGAAAAAAACTATTGCTCTGGACTGACTAGCATCTAACTAGCCTCTCATACATGTGAAAACACTTTTTGTTTCCATGTGAACATGTTCAGAACAATAGTTTTTTAAACCATATTTTGATTTGGTGCATAGTTAGGCATTATCTAGATACAAATAGTAGCATGGGTGGTGTTTGCAGCTAACGCGTCATCTTTCATCGCTGTGAGCCCACTGGGTCAGGTCCCTGGTTAGAGCCCTGTGGTTGCCACATATGAATTGAGTTTGTTTGATGTGTTGTTCTCTCCTATGCTACGAGGGTTTTCTCCGGGTTCTCCGGTTTCCTCCCTCCGTAAAAATCAACATGTGAGTTGAGTGTTGTGTGCATAAAATATTTAATGTAGTGGTAGTGTGTGTGAGTGAAAAGTGTTCCCAGTTAGTGTGAAAGTGCTAGAACAACTAGGCACTTAAATAAAGATTTTTATTTTTTATTTTAAAGTTTTTATTATGTGTTTATGACCATAGAGGGTAGCAGGTCACGTACTGGTAAAGCTATGGTACCTAGGTACCTATTTGGTGCATAGTTAGGCATTATAGTTACATAGTTTTTATTATGTGTTTATGACCATAGAGGGTAGCAGGTCACGTACTGGTAAAGCTATGGTACCAAAGTCAGGTCTCCTATCAATCGTGGTTAATGCTGTTTTAGAAGGTTTGTACCTCCAAAGTCTCTCCAGGGAAGATTTTATGTCCTATACAGTAGCTATACATTGTGTAGTTCCAGAAATT